TGCTGTGACCTTTACCCATTCCACTTTGAATAGCAAACATAAAATGGAAATAAAATGTTTCGATAAAAATGAGTAGCTATGAGCCAGGTGTGGTGGCTCATGCCTGTAATCTCAGCACTTTGGGGAGGTGGAGGCAAGAGGATTGCCTGAGCCAAGGGGTTCGAGACCAACCTGGGCAACTTGGTGAGACCTCATCTCTACAATAAGTAAAATAAATCAGCTGGATGTGGTAGCATGCACCTGTAATCCCAGCTACTCAGGAGGCTGAGGCGGAAGAATTGCCTGAGTCCAGCAGGTCAAGGCTGTGGTGGCCATGAGCATGCCATTGCACTCCAGCCTGGGCAATAAAGTGAGACTCCAACTCATTTAAAAAAAAAAAGTGAGTAGCTATGAATGGCTCCATCAGTAGAATACTTTCATTTTCACCACATATAAATTGTATATTTTTATATAAAGGGGTTTATTTACTGTGTTCACTTTCCTTGAAGAACTTTCCTGAGTGTACCTTTTCCAGCTGTGTTGGCAATAGGGCTGTAAAAAGCACAGCACTTATAGAATAAAACAAAACCATTCAAACCAAATCCTAGAATAGAAGGAATACATACCCATTTTTTTGTGAAATGGAGATTTTGATGACAGTTTCACAGAGAATGCATCTTTTTCATGGGTTCTTACACTTTCCAGTTATGTAACCATCACAGACTTGCCTACCCAGCTGAGCCAGCTTGTCCCTCTGTACTGAGCAGCCAGTTGCCAGCACACAGTATGACATATGGATGTGCTGTGCTGTGAGTGGAACTTGGATAACTCAGTCCCAGGATTTGCACTTCTTCCTTTCATTTTTCTCAGGAAAAAAGCAAAGATTCTCCCAAAGCCTCCTCATATATGTGAAGAGAGTTAACAACAAAAAATGGAAACATAATGTGACTTGAAATGTGTTTCTGAGACCAAGAACCAGAAAGGAAGTGGCAGCACTGGGTCCAAATTGGGTGGGAATAAATGTCCAGCTGCTTCACCCAAGCTGCTCCTCCCAGCACAGCAACACTGTTGATTAAGTAGAATCATATCAAGGCACATCAATTTTCCATTCTTTCTTCCTAGTTCCTTTGCTCTCCAAAGAAAGGGCACTCCCCACACCAGCCATATCAGCCTCTGGCAGCTTCTCTACCTACTTTGAGCCTCATCCCAGTGGAGGGGGGCTTCTCAAGGAGCAGTTTGTCTCCTGCCTAGGAAGAGCATCCAAATTATGAAAATCAGAAATAATAGACCAGGCATGGTGGTATATATCTGTAATCCTAGCTACTCAGGAGCCTGAGATGGGAGGATTGCTTGAGACTAGGAGTTATAAGCTGCAGTGAGCTGTGATCATATCACTGCACTCCAGCCTGGACATCAGAGTGAGACCTTGTCTCTGAAAACAAACAAACAAACAAAAAAAGGCTGGGCGCAGTAGCTCATGCCTATAATCCCAGCATTTTGGGTGGCTGAGGTGAGAGGATTGCCTGAGCCCATGGGTTCGAGACCAGCCTGGGCAACTTAGCAAGACCTCATCTCTACAATAAATCAAAAAATGAGCTGGTGGCGCACACCTGTAGTTCAGCTACCTGGAAGGCTGAGGTGGAAGGATCACTTGAGCCCAGAAGGTCAAGGCTGCGGTGACCATGAGCATGTCACTGCACTCCAGCCTGGGCGACAGAGTGAGACTCTGACTCAAAAAAAAAAAAAAAATTAAAAAGGCCAAGGTCGGTGGCTCAGCCTGTAATCCCAGCTCTTTGGGAGGCCAAGGCAAGTGGATTGCCTGGGTCTGTGGGTTCAAGACCAGCTCAGGCAATTTGGCAAGACCTCGTCTCTACAATAAATAAAAAATTAAGCCGGGCTTGGTGGCTCAGCCCGTAATCCCGCGCCTTTGGGAGGCTGAGGTGAGTGGATTGCCTGAGCCCGCGGGTTCGAGACCCGCCTGGGCAGCAAGACCTCATCTCTACAATAAATCAAAAAATCAGCCGGGCGTGGTAGCGCATGCTTGTAATTCCGGCTACTCGGAAGGCTGAGGCGGAAGAATCACCAGAGCCCAGCAGGTGAGGCTGCGGTGGCCGGGAGCGGCCACTGCACTCCAAGTCTGGGCGACTGAGTAAGACTCCAACTCAAAAAAAAAAAAAAAAAATTAGCCAGGCATGGTAGCGCACACCTGTAGTTCCAGCTACTTGGAAGGCTGAGGCGGGAAGATTGCCGGAGTCCAGCTGGTTGATGCTGGGGTAGCAATGAGTATGCCACTGCACTCTAGCATGGGTGATGGAGTGGGACTCCAACTCAAAAAAAAATTAAAAAACATAATTTATTCTCTAATTTAGAATTTAAGTACAAACAAGTCTATCTGCAGAGGTCTTAAGGGAAAGGGAAGAATGTGTAGCCAGTGGACAGAAGTCGCAGGCATAGTGAGCCTGAATCCCACCCATAAGACTCAGTCTTTCATGATGCTTTTGTCCCCCTTATCACTGAGGCACCTACACTCGAAGATGAAAAATCTAATACTGAAAACCAAAACCTCAGACTAAAACTCTTTCCCTGGAAAACTGGCAAGTTCCATGTGAATTTAGCACATCCAAGAGGTTTGTCATCTATATTAGCTATTTTCTTAACTTCTTTCTTGCTTTCTTTTCTTTTCTTTCTTTTTTTTTATTTTGGGTTGAGTCTCACTCTGTGGCCCAGACTGGAGTGCAGTGGCCGCTCCCGGCCACCGCAGCCTCAACCTGCTGGGCTCCGGCAATCCTTCCGCCTCAGCCTTCCAAGTAGCCAGAATTACAGGCATGCACTACCTTGCCCAGCTGATTTTTTGATTTATTGTAGAGATGAGGTCTCGCCAAGTTGCCCAGGTGGGTCTCGAACCCGCGGGCTCAGGCAATCCACTCACCTCAGCCTCCCAAAGCACGGGATTACAGGCTGAGCCACCAGGCCCGGCTTCTTGCTTTCTTTTTTTGAGACAGGGTCTTGCTCTGTCTTCCAGGGTGGAGTGCAGTGGCATGATCATGGCTCACTGCAGCCTTGCAGTCTTGATCTCCTGAGCTCAAGCGATCCTCCCATCTTAGCTTTCTGAGTAGCTGGTGCAATCCATCACTCTCAGCTAATTTTTTCACATATTGTAGAAACAGTATCTCCCTATGTTGTCCAAGCTGGTCTCTAACTCCTGACCTCAAATGATCCTCTTATCTCAGCCTCCCAAAGTGCTGGATTATAGGTGTTAGCCACTGTGCCTGGCCTACACTGGCAATTTTCTTTTTTTTTTTTTTTTTTTTGAGTTGGAGTCTCACTCTGTCACCCAGACTGGAGTGCAGTAGCTGCTCCCGGCCACCACAGCCTCGACCTGCTGGGCTCTGGCGATCCTTCCGCCTCAGCCTTCCAAGTAGCTGGAACTACAGGCACGCGCTACCACACCCGGCTAATTTTTGATTTATTGTAGAGATGAGGTCTTGCCAAGTTGCCCAGGTGGGTCTGGAACCCGTGGGCTCAGGCAATCCACTCACCTCAGCCTCCCAAAGTGCTGGGATTACAGGCTGAGCCACCGAGCCCAGCTCAACACTGGCAATTTTCAAGAACAAAAATCACATTTACCTGTGGGCCCAGGGATAAATGACAGCTGTATGTAACTTGCTCTCCAGACTGGCAGTGAACAAATACGTTGGCTGCTACTGGTGCCGAGACTCTCGGAGTGTGAGACAGTCGTGTGATCAGAGCATGTGTGCCACAGCCAAGCTCAGTGAGTATGTATGAAGAGTCAGGAGATACCTGGTGCTGCCCCATCACCTGCACAGTAGTTCTGGGCAGCATGTAGTGCACCAAGACCAAGTCCCTGTCTGTTAAGTGACCAGGTGGCAGCTTCATTCAAATAATTTCTAAACAAAAACAAAACTTTCGTGAAGTTTTTACCAGCCTCCTTGTTGTTCCTCCTCTCAAATGACCTTGTCACAATCTTCTCCAAGAGTCTTGTGTGGTATTCTTCACTGAGCTGGTACTATTTCTCCCACATGGGGCCAAGCTGAAATATCCATCTGCAAACCTGTCCCCACCTTGGCAGGCAGCACAGCCGTGGATATGATAGCTGTCATTGTGAATGAGAGGGGTGCAGACCATCACTGGCTCTCAGCACCATTGGGGTGCCAGTCCATCCTGCACCTGCCCCTCCTGGTGCCATGCCACCTGGTGCAGGCTGGTCTCCAGGAAAGAGTGTGGGGTGCATTGCTGGGGAAGGACTCTCATCTCAGGATGGCTGGGTGCCTTCGTGGCAGCTGCTCTGGGACCCTTTCTTTGGCTGGGCAGCAGCACTCTACTGTACACCCCTGCTGGCCCCAGTTTGGCAGCAAACACAACTACTCTGTCACTGGTTTGTTTTGAGGTGAGGACAGCTCCTGCCTATCAATATATAGTTGGAGTGGTCAATGGGAGAGCTGTTGGGGTTGGAGGTAGGAGGCTGGACTAGAGGGTTAACCCAGGAGGTAGAGTAGGCAGGGCCTCAGGGCAGGGCAGATGTGGCTGAAGGAGGGGTGGGTAGGTGGTGTTTTTCTGTTAGTAGCCCTGGGGAAGGGCCTTTGAAGGCAAGCACAGTCCTGGCTGCAAAGAATGACGAAGGGACCACTGAACTGAAGACAAGTAGGCAGCTCCTCCTCAGACAGGGAGGGTGGAGCATGGGGGTAGAAGAGTCCTGAAAGTGCGTTATGCCCAGGAGACCCTGCTGGCTACACAGGGGTGGGGGAGAGAGAGAAATCTACCAGTTCATCATCTGCTTTTTGCTTGTCTTGTGCTGAACACTCTCCTCTGCCCTTCTGGGGATAGTGTGTATGCCAGGCATTTAAGTTGGTTCTGAGGGGCAGGAGGAATGTGCCCCTCTCCTGTTTTGAAGCAGAGAAGGGGGATTTGTGCAGTTAATTCCTGTAGAGAAAGCAACAGGCACGCAGAGTACCCGGGTACTTGGCTCATCTGGGACCTTCCTCAATGGCTTCTCTCCTCAGCTGGCGCATCCATATAGAGCAGCAGTCCTGAGGGCCATGGAGACAGTCCTGAACTGTCACATCAGCGAACTGGACAAGGACACAGCTAGCACCATCATCCTTCTGGCCTCCAGTGAGATGACCAAGACAAAGGTATGCAGCAGACTCTCTGGCCTTATAGACTCAGTCCTGCTTGGGTGGGGAAGGTTTTTTTTCTTGCCCTTTCTTCCCAAGAGCTGCCTGAGGCTGGCAGAGGTCCTTCAACACCACCTTGCTGAAGCGGGACATGGTTACCCTGTAATTTTCAGAGGCAGGAACTGAAGCAGAGAGCAAAGTGCCTAATCCCTCATGGCAAATGCAAGGGCAGCTGTATATGTATAACCTGGGCCAAGGGTTGCACCCAGCGGTGGGGGCAGCCCAGGTTTCCACAGCAGACCTAGCTCTCCCAGGTGCTGAGCACGGCCTTCTCTTGCCAAGGCTGTTTCTCCTGTGGGTATGAGGGCTTCTGGCAGTAGCCTCTCAGGTTTTAGGAGGGGAGGCTATGCCACACAGGCCTGCACTTTTCAGGGAGACAGAAAATAGTGGTCAGCTTGTCCTCGGCCAGTGGCGACTGAGGGCAGAATGTCTTGATTTTGCCTTTTGGGAGATTTCAGGGAGAGGCTCTACCTTCTGATTTTCTGGGGTATAGGAACTGGTCTATGACTGGCAGCAGGCAGCAAGCAGCGTCCTTGTGGCTGTGGGAAAGCGGTTCATCAACAGGGTTATGGAGGAGATGCTGAGCAGGTTCCAGCCTGGGGTGCTGCCGCACTGTTTTGTTGTGCAGACGCTTGCCAGCCTCTCTGTGTCCAACGGTAGGTGATGCTTGGCCTATCCCCTACCCTGTGTTCTTGAGTGAGGGCCTCTGAGAACCCATATGTCTTGTCAGCTGTGACACCTGCTTCAGACTGTAGGTGTCCAAGGCACATGTGAGTGGATGGGCAGGCTGTGTCTACTTCTGTCTGTGCTCCCGAGGAGCACAGGGAGCACTGGGGTCAGTGAGGCCTCTGACAACACTCCTCTCTTGCAGTATTTGGCATGGTCCCCTTCCTGCCGTCCATCCTGAGCACCATGCTGCCCATGCTGGGCATGGCTAAGCAGGACACGATGAGAGTGGTGTTCTGCTCTGGTAAGAAACAGCTTCTTCACTTTTTGTCTTGTGCCCTTTTGTGGAGGGCCATACCTAAGGAATACCTGTTTTAGGGGGTACAGGTAGGCCCTTTAGGCTACAGGAAGCAGGGGGGCTGTCGGAGGGAGGGATCCCCTTGGCTGACCAGGCGCTGGGTGGGCTCATATGAGGCCTTCATAATCTTTGCCTCTTGTTGCTTCTCTCTGCTCCTGGGAAGCCCCCCACCCCCACCTTTTACTGCAGGTCCACTGAGGCCTAGACATGCCTGAGGAGCAGGAAGTGACTTCCGCAAAGCCACAACTTTCCATCTCTATCCTGTTTCTCTCCCCACTCTGAACTGAAAGAGTGGGCACTCCCTGGGACATCTTAGGACTTGGAGTAGAGCAACATTCACTCACCTTCTACCCTATCTCAACAGCCATGTTCCTAGTGGCCTGTGTCTACAGTCCTCTGTGTGCATGGTAGGGAGACATGGGCATATTGTGGGCATGGACCTTGATTTCAGCTGCAGCTGGTGCCCTGTGGGGACTGGAGGGCTTCCTGTTGAAAGGGTGAACAGAGTGCTCACTCAAAGAGGTGGGGATCCTGAGACATTGCAGGGCTGTGGATCCAATATCCTTAGCACCCTTATAGCCCCTGGCCTGTGGCATTCTGTGTCAGGAAGACTGCAGGCTCTGATAGCTGATGGGGAGCAGCACAGGACCCTCGTACCTACCCACAGGACTCGGCTCCTTGTAAAGTGCCAGACTATCTGGGGTCTATAAGGTTCCCACTCTGCTTTCCAGGCAGCTAGTGTGGGAGGGTCCTGGCATGGGGGCGGGTCCTGGTCAGGGAGGTGGGGCCTGGTCAGGGAGGTGGGGCCTTAGCCATGGGGAGAGGGACTTGGCTATAGGGGAGGGACCTGGCAATGGAATGGGGCAACTTTTGGGTGTGGGGAAGTGTGGTTACAGGGACTAGGCCAAGGCTCACCTGAGTGGTTGCTTTGGAGCGTTGGGCCCCAGTTAGCTCTGCTCCTGTGCCCACCACCCCTTTCTTAGACCCCGTGCTCTTGTCTCTCCTTTCCCTGCATCTTTTATGCCTTCAACTTTGGATCTTCCTCTTCTTCCATAGGCTCTTTCTCACCTGTGAGTGAGGGCAGGGTGCCTTGAGTTGAAGAGATAGAAACTCTGCTTGACCTGGTTTTGGCTAAATATGGGGTTGGTGACAGGATCCGGAGCAGCTGAATGCTGAGTCAGGAGTGCAGGAGTAGGGCACAGAAGTGGGTGTGGGGTGTGGACCTCAGACTCTGGAAATGTGCAAGGAGTGCAGGATAGGGCTCGTCTAGGCTGGAGGCAGCCAAAACTGAGGGCTAGAATGACCCATGATGTCCATGCTGAAAACCTAACAAATTGGGAGTGGGCTTCTGCTGCTGGCAATATGGTGACCAGTTATTCTGAAAAACCTTCTCACTACAGAATATCTAGAAACAGGTCAATCAGTTGACCAACATCCTTCTGATCAGAAGGAGGAAATCCGAGGGCTGACAGGCAGGCTAAGAGAGGAGGCAAGGGGTTAGAGCTGATCCCAGGCATCTGCCAGTCTCAATTTAGGCAGCTGCAGGGTGGGTGGGAGACAAGACCTTTCTGTGTATTGGGTGAATAAGACCCTCTAAGACCCATCCTCAGCAAAACAAACTATCCTGCCTGGAGAACTGAGCAGATTCTCTAATGAGAAGGCTTCTGCCATGGACCCTGTGAGTTAGTTTTTCTTTTAAAACTTCTTTTAAGTTTCCTCTCCTGAGAATTTGTAACCATGGTTTGCCCTCATGTAGATGTAAGGTTCAAGTTTATTTTTTCTGTTGGCCTGGGAAGCCCTCAAGCTGAGACATCAGCCTTATGAGTGGGCTGGTTTAGAGTGTCCTGGATAAGGAACCAGCATCCTACTGAATGTCCTAGTTCCTGTAAGACTGTTCGACAGTCGCTCTGGCCCTGGGTGTTTGACTAAGGGAAACATTCCTTCAAAGCCAAGGGTCTCAGCTTTGGCATGGTTCACAGTGGCTCTCGGGGGACCCCAGGACTAGTGATGCCAATTATATCATGAAACAGAGGAGCCAGCATAAACAAATAGTAGAATTAGAGTAGAAAATCAGCTGGGCTCGGTGGCTCAGCCTGTAATCCCGTGCCTTGGGAGGCTGAGGTGAGTGGATTGCTTGAGCCCGTGGGTTTGAGACCCGTCTAGGCAACTTGGCGAGACCTCATCTCTATAATAAATAAAAAAATTAGCCAGGCGTGGTAGCACATGCCTGTATTTTCAGCTACTTGGAAGGCTGAAGCAGAAGGATCACCGGAGCCCAGCAGGTTGAGGCTGCGGTGACCGGGAGCAGCCACTGCACTCCAGTCTGGGTGACAGAGTGAGACTCCAACTCAAAAAAAAAAAAAAAAAGAAAATAACATATTTTAGAATTATCAAATACAGGATATAAAATAACAGAGTAAAGACATAAAAGGAGTAAATCGTGAGGAAAGAGCAAGGTTCTGTGAGGATGAAACCAGTTTGAAAAAAGGGCCAAATACAATTTTTAGAACTGAAACTATAATCATTTCCATTAAAGAGTAAAGCGGTGGGTGAAACAACTGGTTACAAACTTGGAAGAGAGAATGCACAAGCCAGACAGGGTCTGAAGACAACCTGGAAGGCAGCCCTGAGCAGGCAGAGAGAGAAGGGAGTAGGGGGCTGATGTTAGGCAAGCTCTCTTAGTGCCCCCTCATGACAGACATGAATCCTCTTGCTAGAATGTACAACAAATTCAAAGCAGATGAGTAAGAAAAAGTCTACACTTAGATGCATCCCATCAAAATGAGTTGCTGTGAAATGGCCACTGGGAATACAGGGACCTACTGGGAGCAGCTACCCCCTAACCACTGACCAGTGTCAGGAAAGCTGTTCCTTGGAGCCCTGTCACCACCACCCAAGGCAGAAGGAAGCCTAGGGCTGAGGCGGAGCCCATCACACTGGGACTGGAATGGTGTGGAGGCTTGTGGGTATTCCATTGGGTGCTCAGGGCACCCCATTTCCAGCAAGGAAGTTGTAATGTACCCATGAAGAGAAGAAGGAGAAGGAAGAGGCAGATAGCACTCTGTGTCCTTTGTTCTGTCAGAGAGGGCTGGAAGTGCTGCATAGCCTTAAGGGAGAACCACTGCAGGGTTGGAGGTGTGCTGTCAGTGACCCGACTGGAGTCCTGGGATTTCAGCCACAGTGTGTTACTCCTGCTGGGCCAACAGCCTCCCTGCAGACAGCCCCTTCCTGCCATGTGTGCGGTACTGGAGGCAGAGGCTAGGTTGCCTAGTTGGAATGATGCTATGCAGCAGCTGTTTGACATGGCAGGTTGCTCACCTCTAGCCTCTGTGACCTCCTTGCAGCTGTGCCCGCACTGGGAGGTGAGCCAGCCTGGTCTTGGAGTGTGTTGGCTGTCGTGATTTTTGTCATTGCAGTGTCTGGTCCTTATCCCACCCACCCAGAACTGAGCAAGGCAGAAAATATAGAAGCAAATACTTTAGAAAACAAAAAATTGGTGAAGTAGGCCGGGCATGGTGGCTTAAGCCTGTAATCCCAGCACTTTGGGAGGCCGAGGCGAGAGGATTGCCTGAGCTCAGGGGCTCGAGACCAGCCTGGGTGAGACAATATCGTCTCTACAATAAATAAATAATAAAAAAAATAAGCTGGGCATGATAGCTACTTGGAAGGCTAAGGCAGAAGGATCACCTGAGCTCATCAGGTTGCGGCTGCAGTGGTCATGAGTATGTCCCTGCACTCCAACCTGGGCGACAGAGTGAGACTCCAACTCAAAAAAAAAAAAATTGATGAAACAGTTATATTTTATATCTAGTTCTTTGAAAAAGATGTATGAAATAGTTGCCTTCTAATCAAAAGAAAAGGGAGAGAACCCCCAAGCAAAATACAAAGTGATAAAGGGAAAGTGAACAGATAAAGGAAAGAGACTTTGCTTAGCTCAGTGCAACCACCTCTGACAACCCGCAGCAGTGAGTGATTTTCTAGGAGAGTTGAATTCCTCAAAGGAAAACTCTGAGCTGCTGGTGCCCATCGTGAGATTGGTCCAGGCTTCTTCCACATGGGCTCTCCCAAACCTCAGGGGTGTGCCACCCCAGAGAAAAAAGCAAAAAGGATAGTTTCCAAATTCTCTTTTTATGACCTGAGCATTATCATGAAAGAGACCTATGGGCCAGCCTCATGCATGAACTTTGCCCTCATCCACATGTCTGCTGCTGAATCTGGAGTCAAAGATGGTTTGAGATACACTTGTGGAGAGGAAATAGTGACCCTTGATATGCTGACTCTGTGTTCCAAAACATGGAACTAAGTGGATTCGTATCACATGGCATTCCCCATGATGGCCAAACCTAGGAACTAAATCGTCTCAGACATAAGAACTGTCTGTGTTCAGACTGGGTGGAGTCACTCTAGGAGTCCAAGGACAGATCCATATTGGAAGGGCAGACTCATCATACTAATTGATATAAGAAGAAAAATCACCACAGCCACCTTTCTAGTTGTTGATTCTTTATTAAAAACCATAATTAGGATGGAGGCAGTGGTTCACACCTGTAATCCCAGGCCCTTTGGAAGGCCGAGGTGGGAAGATTGCTTGAGCCCACAAGTTCAAGACCAGTCTGAGCAACATAGTGAGATATCACCTCTACAAAAAAATAAAAACATTCACTGGGCATGGTGCCATGTGCCTGTAATCCCAGCTACTCAGGAGGCTGAGGTAGAAGAATAGCTTGAACCTAGGAGGTTAAGGCTGCAGTGAGCTGTGATTGTGCCACACTGCACCCTAGCCTGGATAATAGAGTGAAACTACTAGCTCAAAAACAAAAGAACCAAAAAAAAATTTTTTTTTTTGAGTTGGAGTCTCACTTTGTCGCCCAGACTGGAGTGCAGTGGCCGCTCCCGGCCACCGCAGCCTCGACCTGATGGGCTCCGGCAATTCTTCCACCTCAGCCTTCCAAGTAGCTGGAACTACAGGCATGCACTACCACGCCCGACTGATTTCTTTGATTTATTGTAGAGATGAGGTCTCGCCAAGTTGCCTAGGCGGGTCTCGAACCCGCAGGCTCGGGCAATCCACTCACCTTAGCGTCCCAAAGCTCTGGGATTACAGGCTGAGCCACTGATCCCAGCTACGTTTTTTTAAATAATATAAATAAATGGTTAGTTCTAAATTTTACATGATAAAGAATTTATCGCAGTCCCAAAGATAGCATCTTGCTTAGTGGAAAACACTAGAAGCATTCCTGCTAGAGTCAAAAACAAGATATCGGCTGGGCATGGTGACTCGTGCCTGTAATCCTAGCACTTTGGGAAGCCAATGCTGGAGGATTATTTGGACCCAGGAATTTGAGACTAGCCTGGGCAACCTAACAAGACCTCATCTCTACAAACAATCCAAAAATTAGCCAGGCATGATGGTGCATACCTGTAGTGCCAGCTACTTGGGAGGCTGAGATGGAAGGATCACCTGAACCCAGGATATCAAGGCTGCGGTGAGCCGTGATTGTGCTACTGCCCTCCAGGCTGAGTGACAGAGTAAGACTCTGACTCACAACAAAACCCCAAGATATAGGGGTTTACACTTTTTAAAACACAGAATTTCAGAGAATATACAACAAAAGAATAGTCACCAACTAATTTTATGTGACCAAAACCAGATGAAGACAGTGTGAGAGGGAAACAGGCCAGACTTGCTGGCGACACAGATGCAAAGGCCCTAAAATACCAGTAACTGTGGTTAAGTACTCAGGATGCAAGGGTAGGTTCATCTGTTATTTTATCCTTTTTACACCCGGGAAAGTGGAGGCCCCTAAGAGGGTGATTGATCCAGGATCACACAGCTGGTGAGTGTTGGGTGGGACTGCATCACTTACCACCCAGAGGTGGACTCGGGTCCTTTTGTAGAATTAGGAGTGAGGGCCAGGCACGGTGGCTCAAGCCTGTGATCCCAGCACTTTGGCTAGAGGATTGCTGGAGCGCAGGGTTTGAGATCAGCCTGGGCAACTTGGCGAGACCTCGTCTCTACAATAAATTTTTTACAAAAATTAGCTGACTTTGTGGCATGCACCTGTGGTTCCAGCTACTTGGAAGGCTCAGGCAGAAAGATTGTCTGATCCCAGCAGGTCAAGGCTGTAGTGGCCGTGAGCTTATAACTGCACTCCAGCCTGGGCAACGGTGAAACTCTGGCTCAAAAAAAAAGAATTAGAGCTGGGCTCGGTGGCTCAGCCTGTAATCCTGCGCTTTGGGAGGCTGAGGTGAGTGGATTGCCTGAGCCCGCGGGGTCAAGACCCGCCTGGGCAACTTGGCGAGACCTCATCTCTACAATAAATCAAAAACTAGCC